AGAACTGATTCAACATGAAAACTGTCACCAAGTGAGCGATGCTGGCTTGTATCCTGAGGTCCCATTATCCTTTCAACATTGTGTAGGAATTAACAGTTTTTCACCATTTCATTTTCACTGATTTGAGATCACAGAAAAATCACCCAGGGGCTCCAAAAGCTGGGCTTTGCAGATGATTATTATTCCAACCATAATAGCAATTCTCGCGTCTCTCTTAGAAGAATCATTTCTCGGTGAAATTGTGAAGCAGGCCCAGGTGTGTGGCAGTAAGTGTTGTTTGCCTTGTTGTCTCTCTATGAGTATCTTTTATTTCATCTCTCAAGTCAGTCTCTTGTTCCATGCTCCTAGCTACACCATGAGATCCCTGAAAGTCAAGGTGGGTCTTATTCATCACAGTATTCCTATGGTACCTGGCACAGTGCCCGGCACACAGGAGGGGCCCAACTACGGTTTTTCAGAATTGAAAGGAATCTGCACGCAATTTAACTAGAGTTCGCTCCTCCACCTTGGTAGCTGACATCATTAGTGTCTCGAATGTTAAAAATCTCATTTCCAGCAGCTTCCTGCTGGAACGGGCCGAAGAATGGGAGCTGTCCAGAAGAGAGTTCTTTTCCTTGGCCCTTCAGCCCTTCATACTTGAAAGCCTTCTCTCCCACCCTGAATTCCACACAGACAAATCCTATGCACAATTCAAGGTTAATTGTCAATGTTCTCTCTCCTGCAAATACTTTTCTAATTCCTTTGGTCAGGAATTCGTTCTTCCTTTTCCATCCCCAAGGCACTCCATGTGTACCGCACATGTGCCTCTTCACTCATTCTGCAAATATTTCCATATGCATAAAGCCGCTAGAACTACCACACCGTACTAGATGTTATAAATTCACTTAAGTCTTCCTCAGACCCCATGACAAAAGGATTAATGCGAACTCTCAATACAAAGACCCTATCGATTTTAAGGTATGTCATAGATTGGATGTGTCCTTTCAGCAAGAGAAAGAGAGAAAAATAACAACAAACATAATAACTGATGCTTCTAGAGAGTTCACCATGTGCCAAACTCAGTACTTTACAGGTATTATATCTTTTAATTCTCAGCACTCCCCTATAGGGAGTTTATTAGGTAAGGGCTAATAAGCCCTTTAAGGGCTAAAGTTTATGTTTAATCAACATATGGCATGCATAGAGAAAAGTGTGCAAATCGTATCTGTACAGCTTGACGAATTTTTACAGAATGAACACACCCATATAACCACCACCCAGATCAAGAAATCAAATATGACCAGCATGCTGGCATGTTTCCCTTCAATCACTGTCCCCTCCATCACCCAAAGGTAACCCCTCTTCTTTTTTCTAACATCCCAGATTCGTTTTTACTGTTTTTGCTCTTTATTTAAACATACATATTCATTTGTGCCTGGCTTCAATAATTCAATCTTATATTTGTGAAATTCATCATTGGTGACATGTGTGGTGGTTGTGTTCATTAATACTGAGTGTTAATAACATTCTGCTGTTTTGTTTTATTTATCTACTATCTTGTTATTGATGGGCATCTGTGTTTTTTTTCCCCAGCTTTTTGGCAGTACAAACGAATACCACCATTAGTATTCTTGAACATATTATTTGTGGTATCCTATTGGTAGGATATGTAGATGTTCAGCTGTAGTAGATACTGCCCAGTAGATTTACAGAGTGGTCACACTAACTTACGTTCCTGCTATAAAGGTATGGTAGTTCAGTTGTTCCATATTCTCACCAACATTTACTATCATCAATTGTTTTGGATTTAGACACCCAGGCGGGTTGAGCCTTTACTTTTGACTCTAACTTGCTCTGCCTCCCCTAGTTTGAGATTCCATACTTTCACAGTAATCTGTCACAGACTTAAAAACAAAACCGAAAAAAACAACAACTGGGAAAGCACCTTTTCATTTTCCTTCCCAATCCTACTGGAATGCTTATCTCTTCCTTCCTGACGTTGCTTTTTCCTTTAATCTCTCTGTTGTGATTCTGTGGCATATTATTGGCTATCTATAATTAAGATCTATTATTTATTAATTTCTAACATAGCATCTGACTGAAACTTATTAATTCTTTGAATGCCCAGGATATGCTTGCCTGAGCGGTGTCATGTCAAACAAGGTTTATTAGTGTAGCTTGGAAAACTCAACCTACATAGCACAGATTTTTTTGAATGGCAGTGATTGCAATCTTTTATCTACCCTTACAGTGAAACCAATGGGTATGTGAGAGGTAAGATGAAGGTAAGACTTAAAAGGCTGTCTGCAATTGCTCCAAGCCCAGACAAAGACGTGTGGGCACCCCAAGCAGGATAATAATTTAGTCACCTAATCAAACCAACATTCTTCAAATATTTGAAATACATTTCAAATATTCTTCAAAGGGTTTATCCTGAGCCACTCTGCTCTGGTCCCGACTCGGTGAAGGCACACCCTCCATGTAACCAGGCACAGCATTTTTTTTTTTTTTTTTTGCGGTACGCAGGCCTCTCACTGTTGTGGCCTCTCCCATTGCGGAGCACAGGCTCCAGACACACAGGCTCAGCGGCCATGGCTCCCGGGCCCAGCCGCTCCGCGGCATGTGGGATCTTCCCGGACCGGGGCACGAACCCGTGTCCCCTGCATCGGCAGGCGGACTCTCAACCACTGCGCCACCAGGGAAGCCCCAGGCCCAGCATTTTTAGCAGCTTAGAGCATCTAATTGTTACGGATCATGCCCTTCAAAGGTGTCACCACTTTCAATTTATTACAGTATTTCTTCCAACTACAAACAATATTGTCACTGAAATAAATTCTAGTACTATACTTTTCTCAATTTTCTTTTAATATTTCCAGAGATGTTTTAGAGTCCCTGTAGGTTGATACTCTGTTCTTTTCCATGTCTGGTTTGCTGTTTAATGTAATAATTCATATTTTGGAGCAGAAAAGGCAGCTGAATTATCCTACAGACCACGGTCATTCTCAGCAGTATGACACAGTACTCAAACTTCCTGACTCTGCCTTCCCCACCATCGCCAGTTTCTACTTGAACTCTATTGTAGTGGGAATTGAATTTATCTAAAATTGGTAATCCGGTAACTTTGGGAGTATATTATGTACCAGCATTTACACATTTAATTATTACAACGATTCTTGGGAGGTGCTTCAATGAAATAGTTAAGAACACGGGTTCAGGAGGTGGAGAGATCATGGGGTGAAGCTTGGCTTCACTACTTACTAGTGAAGGTATCACCTTTATGCCTCGGACTTTTTTTTTTTAATTTGTAAAATAAAAATAATATTAGCATCACATTTGGGATCGATGTAAGAATGTAATGAGATAATGTTAGTAAAGGGTTTGGGAGTGGTCAATGCAGATGAGTTATTATTAGCAGCAGCACTATTATTATCATCATATTCTGTGAGGTAGGCACTGTTATTATCCTCATTTTGCAAAGAAAGGGAAAGTTAGTAAGTTGCATTTGGCCAGAATCATATAGTTCATCCATGGTAGAGATGGGGCTGTAACCCAGACCCATCTGACTCCAGAGGGAGTGTTACTATCAGCCAGTCTGACATTTATAGCTTCACTGAAATCACACATTCAATGTCAACAGTACAGAACTCTGAGGAAAGCTAGTAGAGACTTTTGTTCAGTCGATTTGAGACACGGTCGTAGGGTCTCTTTGAGAATAATCCTTCAACCAGATGGTCTTTTCTCCATCTTTAAAATATGTAATGCAGAGAAACCTTAGCACATGCTTTACCAAAGTCTCACTGACCTCAATTCTATCAAAAATGGAAATAATGGTAATTTGCCATGAATCAATTTGTGTGTGCATGAAACCATCTTAGTTCTTAGTAATTACCACTTCATTTTCTAAGCGCTATCCCTTTAATTTTCTATCCTTTTTAAAATTACCTCTTTGGAGAAATACCAATAAAAAATCATGCTGTGTTCATCCCTCCATGAAATGTTGAGAAGGTGAGAATAAATAAATTGTAAAGCAAGAGACGTGGGTTCTAGGAGCTTCCTATCAAGATGTCATGGATATATGATAGCATCTTAAATTGAAAATGACCCAAAGATAGCTAGACAGTAGAATAACAGTCACTGGAAGTATGGGGGTCATGCTTCCATGTTCCAGTTCAGAAGCTCATAAGCTGTGTACAAGCCAGTTCCAAAAGTAAAATCAGAGTCCGTTTTATGTAACATTTAAATTCCAGAATTCTTCCCTTAATCAAATTGGGAGGGGTTAAAAAAAAGAACCTCCATTAGAAAGCTCCAGAATAGTGCTAGGCTCAGATCTAAGAGCACTGGTATAATTAAATCAATAAACATTTTAGTAGCTGTCCTATATGTACTGGGAACTGGGGATTAAAAAGCTAAACAAGTTATTTGCTTTGACCTTGAGAGATTCGCCACATAATAGGACAGAATGATATGTAAGCAACTAATTAGAACACAGTAGAGTCAGTCTACAAGGAAGTTAAGTACAAGGTGCAAAACGTGTAAGGAAAGATGTAATCTCCATCCTTTCATGAGTAAAAAACAAATTCATTTGACCTGGACATTTCAAACCTATGGATTAGCCCCAAATCTGTTCCCGGTATCAGAGTCATGAGAGAAAGCACCTCATTCTCCAATCTTTTACCTTCATGACTCTCCAATATACTATTAAGTAATCGTCTTTTATAAGAGAAGATCATTAAAGATCCCAGGATGAGCCAGAGAATGAGGTCGCCTCTCTCATGTTTTATATAAACCCCAAAGGAAAGTAATTATGTTGAAACGTAAAGGCACTGAGGCCCACCATGGAAGTCACTTTCAGGAGTGTGGAGCATGGCACAGTGGACAGTGTTTTATATATCGACTAGACAACTGCCTATTTCAACAGCATGAAGATTACTTTTCCACAGGAGTGCCTGAGACCCTGAAACAGAGGGGCTTCCAGGGCTCTACGAAGCCCGTGGTACAGGTGCTGGAGATGACATCCCTACCTGACATCTGCAGGGTCTTCTGTGACGAGCACGTCGGTCTTGCAGCTGGCCAGGGGGTTGATGGACAGCTCCACGGGTGGGACCACGAAGCTTTTGCTGACAGGAAGCCAGAGTCCTTGGCCCAAGCTGAAAGTAGACCTGCAATGTAAGAGTTTCCATTGGGGGACTCCCTGGGAAGCAGACAAAACAGAAAAAAGGGGCCCCTCCACCCTTCCCTTCTAGAACCTTCTCTCACTCCCCCACCCAACTGAGTCCCCTGCATTCTCCAAGGCATAACGTTGGCCAACTTTGCCCAGACTTGGGTGGTCACTTCTTCACTCCGTTCATCATTTAGCCCATGCATTGCTCTATATTGCTAGTTTTATTTTCCTGAGTTTAAATCCTGATTCCCATTTACCAGTGGGCTTTGTGAGGACAGGAACTATTTCAGCTCTGCTTTCCCAAGCAGTCCTGACAGCCAGCAGGAGGACCATAAGAGACTGCTAAGTCAGCAGGGGCAATCTGCACAAAGGTTAAGGGCACGGACCCTGAATCAATTTCAACCAAAATCTGATTCCCAGTTCGGCCACTTCATTTGCTGTTATGTCTTCATCAGCTTAGGTACTGAAGTTTCACACAGGAGAAGAGGTTCTATGGCTATAGAATATTTTTAAACCACTGGACTAGATATTTCAAGTAGCTCAATTTTTGTCTACACCAGACAAACGGGAATTAGAGTCCCATAGCAACCAGGGCCATTGCATCCCAGAAGTGCACAGGCTCGATAAACTAAGGAGGTACGTAACTACACCTCCCATCAGACCCTTCTCCATACCCCAGCGTCATGCCCCAACAGAATGTCAACTCACCTGAGAATCTTTTCAGGGGCTTGCTCCCCTGTCACCAGATCATAGCCCCTCTCGAGTGTCGTGTAAGGCCAGGGTCTGCGGGAAGAATTGAGACAGGGAAAGAAAAAGGGACAGAAGATGCTATTAGTCAGAAGCAGGTGGGATACATATGTGGACAATGCTTGGGGTAGCTTTACAAACAATCAAATTTTGCAGAGGTAATTATTGGGTAAGGCTATTTATATTATAAAAGGCTCCATCCATTTTCACCGAAGGACTCAGCACTTCAAAGTCCACTTTGTCCATTTTGGACATTATGTATAAAAGACCCAATTCTTCATTAGTCCACTCGAGAGTGGTCTTTGATTACCTGTGGTTTGGGAGGGTGAGCTAAACTTCAGCCTTTGTTCTCTAGAAGATTCATCAATCATGTACCTGTAATACTAAAATGTGATTCAGTGGGAAATAGGATTCACTTTCCATCAGGCTTTGCAGGGACACAACTGTTGCAGAGGAAGAGTCCTCTTTGTGGAGCAGTTTGGGGCATCTGGTAATGCCAGGGAAGGTGGGCCCTCCACTGTCTCTGCCCTGATGTCCTTGGCCACTCACCCTTCACTCTGTCCCCAGTCACTGCGCACACACAGGTGTCTGTGAACCGGGTCAGGGGTGTAGCCTTCATGACAGCTGCACTCTCCTGTAAAAGAGAAAAGGATCTTGTGAAATACTGCCTGCCCTTCTTTCTGGTTTCCTTGTTTTCTGAGAAAATAAAGCAAGGTGGCTAGTTGTAGAAAAGGTCACGGAAAGAGGGTGTTCTGGTCTACCTGCCACTGTGGTTAATAAAGAGTTTATTCATTTGTTCATTCACTCACTTATTCACTCAGTGAGCCCTGACCACACTCCCTGCCAGGCTCTCTGCTCAGCCCTGGGGATGCAGAGGTCAACGGTACAACCCAGATGCTGAAGGAGCTCATGGCTTAACGAGGCAAACAGAAAGTGACCTGGTGGCTACACATGGAAGTCATATTTTCAAATATTGAAATTATGATAAAGTACACTTGCACGACAAGTGTAATCAGGAAATTGAATTCTCTCCACCTGAATGAACTATTCACGTTCATTTGTAAGCCCCAAAACAAATGCCACCTCCTCCAAATACCTCTGATTGCCCCTTTTGGAAAAATTATTTTCATCTACCATCTCCAGATTTTATTTTGTCTTGTTGTTGTTTGTTTGCCGTAATGGGTTTCCTCTCCTCTTCCCTCCTCCCCTCATTTCCCCTCTTGTCTCTTCCCTTCCATCTATCCATCCATCCATCCATGTATCCATGTGTCATTGTTTTCTGGCCATGCCTTACACTTGGTTGCACACATCCTCACTAGCATCCCACACTGTCTTAAGTATATCTTCTCATTAGCCAAGCTCATTCTGGGGGCACATGTCTTGTTTCCTGGTGTATCTTCAGTGTTCAAAATTCTGGAAGGGTCCTACCTCCTTGCTACTATTAGTCTTGCTTCACTGTACACTCCTTAAAATTGGGGGATATTTTTTGATTCAATTAGTTGCTAGATTTTCCTAAGATGTATTTGTAGAATGTTCCCAGATGCTTTACCAAAAATAGATTCCATTAAAAAAAAGCTTGTGAAATACTGTACCATTCCTTAGTGCCAGTAGAGTATGATTCTCCATGAGGGTGATAATGTATACAGTTTTCCCTAAACTTATTTCACCTTGGAAGGCTTGCTGGTGAAACAAATCGTAGGATTAGTGTCCTGTGGAACATACTTTGGGAAACACTGGTAGGAAGTGCGCTGGCTGAACTCACTGCATAGAACAGTGTAGGTGCTCAACACTGTGAGTTGAATGAATAATTATCTATCTGTGGCTTTGATCAATTTCCAGACTATTGCTGTCACGTTGCCATCTTCTGGTAATCACACTCACGCACATACCCAGATGAACCTGCAATTCTTCAGTCCCACAGTGATTCTGGTTGGCTTGACCCAAGCGTTTTCAAATTATGTTTCATGGAAATGTCTAGCTCAATGGGGGAGATTTAGGGACTTTGCACCTTTTAGATTTTAATGTTCCTTAAAAAGTTTTATTTAAAAATCTCTTTAATAATAAAAAAAAATGATGGCTAAACACTCAGATATTACATGCTAGAATTGAGGACATGAAGAGCACTGTCACTTTAAGTCTGGTTGCCAGGTAAACAGATTTTACGCAGACCTCATTAAAAAAAAAATTCTCCTGTCATCTTTGTTTCACTGAAGAGGACCCTGAGACTGTGAGTCTAGGTGCTAACAAGCTCATGCTTTTTACAACTTCAAGTCTTATGAATCAGGATTTTCTCAACCTTGTGCAACCAAAACAAAACATAGCAGTGAATAAGACGCTAGGGTAACACAGGTTCTATAACTATCGCCCACAACTCCTGATTTCTAAGTGTTTGTATTTATGGAATAGCCTTATTGTTTTCACTGATTCACTATAAATGTTATACATTTGACCTTATACAAAGTATTCCGAGTGTCAACACTTTAATTTGTTTTATGCATTCCAACGCTGCTTAATCTTTGTATGTCCAGCATCAGCAAGTATCTGGCAAACAGCCTGGGCTTAATAAATGTTGGTTGAACTAAGAGTAGTAAGACAGAATATGGAGAAAAAAATGGGTCAGAGAGAATATTCACAATATTCAGATAAGACTGTTAAAAGGAGAAAGAGAAGAGAAAGAGAGAGATCTACCTTTCCCCTTCTCTGGATACCTGGTATATAAGAGGGGGCTGCTTGCAGGCAGGGATGCTGTCCATAATTCTCCTCTCCAATAACATCCCAGGGTCTTCCACCGGACACCTGGGCTGTAAGTACGTGCAACCTAATGTACTGATTGATTGTTGCCAGAGGTAAGGAAAATGGACGGAAAAAGCTGAGATCCTTGAGATTTGGATGAGAATAATCGACCAAAGTGGGAGGGGTAGCAGTCACTAATGATGTGTTAAAAAGCTGCAGTCCCTTCATGAAATATTCACCACTTTAAACATGTCTAAGATTAAAAGTCCTGGTTTGTCCTCGAGACTCCCAGGACTGATTTATGATCTGCCACAAGCCACAGCCTTCATGATTCATAATGGGAGAGGTAAAGTGGTTACCTCTGGCAAAGGGACGGGAAGTCGGGCTGGGGCGAGCCAGGAGCATGGTGGGAAAGGAGGCTCTCTGTCCTCCATGGAAAGGGCTGAGGTTCCTGTCTCTCCTCTCAGTGACTCAGGACAGGGCACAGGTCATTTTTTCCCCTTTCCCTCCTTCTGCGAATATCAGTGAGAATGAGAAATCTACACAGAAAAAGGGCACTGCTGTATTTTTCTCTTTTCGTGTGTGCTTACTAGGCAAGTTTCCCCTGACTTGGAATGGATCATTAATTACTGCCGCTCACTGTACAACAAATATGTATTTTGCAAATGAGAAGCATCCACCCTGGAGGCTGTGTGGAGCACGGGAAGTGAGGCAGAGGGAAAAGCACATGAGTGCTGGAGACACACAGAACTGGGCTCCAATCCTTACTTCCTGTCTCCCTAAGATGTGTGGTCTTGGGGAGGGGGTTACTTCATTTTTTGAAGAGGTCTCAGTTGTCTCATCTATAGAATGAGAAGAACAGTTCTGCCAATCTCTCAGAGCTGATATAAGAATAAATTGACGTACTGAAGGGTAAAGCTCATGGCTCATGTAGAAAGTGAGTAGATGCTCAACAAATTCATTCCCTTTCATTCCGAGATGGCAACTGGGTTCTGACATATGCTGACACGTTAACTCTACGGACACTGGCTAGGTAACCTCCTCCTTGCTGGGACTTAGTTTCCCCATCTGCAAAATGGAAGCTTGGAATAGATGTTCATGAGTTCTGGGCCCCAGTGAAAGTCAGTCATTTCCATTGCCTTTCCGAATCGCTCACATCTAGTTTTCTGAATACCCTTTGTTTTAACCTTAACTCGGGGCTTCCCTGGTGGCACAGTGGTTGAGAGTCCGCCTGCCGATGCAGGGGACACGGATTCTTGCCCCGGTCCGGGAAGATCCCACATGCCACGGAGCGGCTGTGCCCGTGGGACATGGCCGCTGAGCCTGCGCGTCCGGAGCCGGTGCTCCGCAACGGGAGAGGCCACAACAGTGAGAGGCCACAACAGTGAGAGGCCCGCGTACAGCAAAAAGAACAAAACAAAACAAAACAAAAAACTTAACTCTGATCACTCTTAGCAGTTGGGCTGGGTGCCTCCAGCAGGATTTTCCCTCAATGCCATGACTGTTGGCTTTATTGGCCCCCATTTTCCATTTTGCTGGCTCAGCGACCTCTCTACTATTCACAACCAAGCATTTACTTCTTGCAAGATGCAAGCCTCTGACAGCGGGAGCTGAGGATTAACCCCTTCCCTGGGAGAGTCCCATCCTCAATCCTGCCTTGGTATACCCAGGGCAGCCAGGCTGCTGAAGATCAGCTCTCCAGGGACATATGTTTACACGCTTTCCCTGTGCTGACTGTGAATGCCCGCACTCCCTGCCTGTCTCACCACAGCAGATGCTCCCTGGAAAAACGGATGGGCCCATCTTGCTCACCACTGCATCCGGCACCTGCTGCGCTACCCAGTACATAAATAAATGAGGGAGTATCCTTCACAATAGTAATGCCTATGCCGATAGGATAGGGACTTTTTGCCTATTTTCCCCACTAAACTGGGAGTCTCTTGATTGCAGAAACCTTTTCTTTATCATCTTCATATCCTAGTAGTTAGTAGCATGCCTGATGAAGTGTAGGTGACTCATTTGTTGAATGAATGAATGAATGAATGGGTGAGTGAATACGTGAATTAGTGAATACATAAATATACGGTAATCATCATGAATTCAGGCTGAGTTCCTTTAGAATAATGATGATTCTGCTGAAGACTGGAAGAAACTTTCTTACATCCATGACAGGTATTTGCCAAGGAAATGGAAAGTGTAAACATGAATGCTGATGAAATGGCTAAAACAGAATTTCTATTTCACATCAGAGTAGAAAAGGCTCATAAAGATCATCTAGTTCAAATCTTCCCAGCTTCATTTTTCAGATGGGGAAACTCTGGCTCAGAAAGTGAAGACATGTAGCCAAATAACTGTAATAGCGTCTTGGCCAGTGCGGATTAGCACCCAGGACTATTGGTCATTACCTCAGCATCCTTTCCACTACACTAGTGGTCTCGGTACTTTAATACACCCAGCAACATTTTCTTGCATTTTTTTTTCTTTGTACGCCTCTGACATTTCTGAGTTTCCTATAATGTATTACATTTAAAACCAAAAATTATTTTTTAAATATAATGATTTTTAAATACCCTTAACACCTTAAAAACGTACATTTATAAGTGATTGATAATGTAGACCTTAACAAAGAGTTTAATCTCTTGGTTAAAGTGGCTCCCATAAGGGAATTCAACTAAGTGGATTTTCATTGTGCTAGTTACTAGAACTCTGTATTATCAGCTATGGATGAGTTGTATTGGTTTTAAAATATTCACTCTTTACGTCTCTCAAGCCCCATTTATCGAGTTCTCATGTTATGTTACATGTGTTCTCACTCCATAAACTCTTGGGTGAGAACAACGGAATCCCTCAATTATGAACAATCTCAGTCTCTCTCGTGTGGGGCTCCCCTAAACCACTTCA